TTGTGTACCTGTGACCAATTCCTGGCACCCGAATGCCTTTCTTCTTCATGCTTTCCACAAATTCATAAGGTGTGAGGCCCTGCAAATGCCAGCAGCACAACGGTCAACTTTGAAAAATCTCAAAGGTCCGTTTGGAAACTGGAAAATGCCAGGGAAGGAAAATGCGAAGAAAAATGTTCTCATTTTGTCTTTCCCTTCATTTCCACTCAATCAATCACTTGTTGATGCTTGTTCATACTCATTTTATTCATATACTGAGTACTTTATTATGTAAACTATTAAGGCTACATAATATAAATTTATGAAAATTTTAAATGGTCTAAATTAGATTCGATATTCTTTTAAATATTCCATGGTAAAAGTAAATTCCCATCGCATTTCCAAGAACATAAGAAAATAATCATATTCCCATTCCCACTATATTTTCGAGAAAAATAAGGAAATAATTTTCATGAGCAATTTGGTTTTCTTTCCCTAGATTCTTTTCCGAGACCCAAACATAGCCCAAAGAGAAAAAAGATGGTTTTCAAACTTTTTCCTATGATCTACTTGGCAGCGTTCTTTTGATATGAGCTGACAACACTCACCCGGTCATAAGCATCTTTGAAGTAGCGAGCCGCATCATCAATAGCACCACCAAAACGGGGACCAATAGTTAGCAACCCTGTGGTATAACCCCTTATTAGTCAACTAGTTGAATGCATATGGCAAACCCACATTATGAAAGTCGACCATGACATAACATACATACCAGAAACAAGACTGGAGACTAGATCTTTTCCTGCCCTGGCAGTTACAATGGTGTTGTGGGCCCCAGATACACAAGGTCCATGATCAGCACACAACATGATGCAAATCTGGTCAAATCAATGGCAAATGTTTAGGTATAGACATCATAGTGTCAAAAGAGAACTATAAGAAGAAAAAACATAAGCTAATGTATGGCCTGAAGAAAAGAAAGACGTGTGTGGACAAAAGAAGCATGAAAATACCTCAATAAAGCGTGCACAGTAACGAGGAAGGCTACGTTTGAACCACAGTAGGGAAATGACATCACCCACACCTAATCCTTGTTCAATAATAGAGGACATTGCAACACCAGCGTAGCATGGCTCTTCACCTGTGAATTGAGGATATAGACATTCAGCACATTCACTTGTACAGAGTGACCAAATTCCAAAATCAACTCGATAAAATATTAGAGCCTGTTCGGGATTAGTTATGCTATAAATGCTTTTATTACAAGTGCTCTCATTTAAGCACTAAGAGTGCTTTTTCTCAGAAAGTATCATAAGCACAAAAAGGTGCCTTCCTAACTTTAATAAAATCACATTTCTTAATATCCTTACCCCAAAACACTTCTGTTTTTATTTATTCTTTTGAAACGTAAGTACTCATCTTCCTAATGAAATGCACTTATTCCTTGAAATCAATCATCCCAAACACGCACTAAGAAATTTAAAATCCTACCTCTATCATCTGAGATAGTAGAAATAATATGTGTAGGAGCTCGAACTTTCCCACTCTTAATTGCGGTGTTAAGATCCTCAGGAATTTGTGGAGGTGTCACTTCCTTCAGGGGAGCAATCTTTCCTGCATCGACCTACTCAAACAAAATGTGGTGGTCGTTACCAAGACAATTAATAAAAGTCTGGCAATTCGGGGAGAGACGAGTGTCTACCAATTTCTGAAATGTTTCTTTGATTGCTCCTTCAAAAGCTTCGTATGAGGTGGGGACCACTGCTCCAGCATCTTGTAGGGCTTGATTCTTTGCTTGTGCAGATTCTAATTCACCACCACTTTTTGCTCCCTGTAACAAACCATTATCAAGAGAAATTAGCAAGATGGCATGGGTTGCATGAGAAATGGCTAGCAATACTATGTTGTATCCTTCTCTGTGAGCTTCAGCAGCACTTATACTTATGGGGATATGAAGGTTTGTAGCTCACCGCATGACCAAACTGAACTTCAGACTTGAAGAGCCTTGCACAAGTACCACTGACCCAGGCAACCACAGGCTTATTAATCTTTCCTTGTTTGAGGGCTTCAACTAAGGAGTATTCATCCCTTCCACCAAGTTCCCCAAGAACAACTATCAGTTTTACCTGGTGCACACGAAAAGTAAGCAATAAAAGGTAAACGTATATGCAACGAGCTTAAATTTAAATATGGTAAAAACACATTGCAACATTAGAAAATTTGCATAGTTATTATTTCTCTATTGAGCATCACACTTGAAAGAATTACAGAAGTGGAAACTCAGGCCTAATTTATTCAGGAGATTAGGAATGTTGGCATCCGTTCTTGAAGATTGATTACTTTATGATTTTAACATATCATTTTCCATCCAAAGTCACATTATCAATTAGACGTTAAAGATACTCCCTTTATTGCTAATAAATAAATAAAATAAAGTATTGCAACTCGTGAAGCAGACCCTTTTCAAGGAGTGGGTTGGAGAATAAACAAATTACCTGTGGAATATTGTTAAATCGCAGAACATGATCAGATAGCGTTGAGCCAGGAAACACATCTCCTCCTATTGCAATGCCTGCAGTGATGAAAAAAATCAATTTTTATCATAAGTTACAGGATTAAAATCTATACAAGAACCACTTTAATTAGTAATCATAAAAAACAGAGTAAAATGGCACACCTTCATAGATTCCATCTGTCACTCTGGCTATGGTATTGTACATTTCATTTGACATGCCGCCCTGTATTTAACAGAAACAATATGACTCTGGAAACAACAGTCAAATGTTCAACTCAATATCATTCTTAATCCCTTAGTTTTTGAATCAAGTATTAAACAGGTCTGGGAAAGTTTGAAAGCATTATCTACTTTAATACTCCATATACACATGTAAGTTGTAACCGTGCTGTTTTATTTTCAAATTGTAACGTATGGGTTTTAAAAGAGTGGTTGTCTACTGCTAATATGATGCAGGTTAGATACAACATGGCATTAGTTTCAATTGTATGACATGCAATCGATGTAGAAAAAAGCACTGGACATCCACAAGGGCCTAGTGCAGTGTTGGAGATGAATCAGATCTATGCAGGATGTAAATACATTAAGGCAAGTCCTACTAGTAGTAGGTATCTTATAAGACTTTGCCTATTTATAATTGCACAATCATGCATAAAATCATCAATGTAAGAAACCAAAACTCTAATTACGAGAAGCTAGTCACGGACTACTCTCCTTTCTTCCTGCCACAAGCAGGGAGAGATCAATACCTTCTTCTTTAGATATCTAACATCTAGAAAGCCTTTATGTTAGATTATCCAATGCCCTCTAAAAAAAGAAGTAAAGAACAAAGAAAGAGCCATACTTCCTATGTTGATCATATGGTACATTTAGAATGCTAGAAATAAAGCCAAACACAAGTCGATGGATGTTAATAGCTTTGTCATCATACATGACAAGTGGGTAATGTGGAAGAATATTTTACCACTGATCAAAACGTACACATTAGATATCAGATAATGAGTGAGCATTTATTAAAAAAAACTCACTGATTTGGAGACAAATCCAACAGATCCAGGTCTGTACAGCTTGCATTGAATAATATTGTCAATTGTTCCAGCAGTGTCACCAATTCTAAACGCACCAGCTTGAATTCCTCCAACTGTAGCTGGACCAATAACAACCTGAAAGTGCAATAAGATGGTGGTTTGATATAATAACCAACTGGTCGACAAAAGAAAAGAGCAAGATCCGTCATGATATCCTCATTCGAACATTATATCATGGGCATAACACAATGCTTATTGACAAAGGATATCGTGAAATAATTTTACCTTGTTGTTTGCCTTTGCATAAGCTATCAACTGTTTGGTGTCTGACTCAGGCACACCTTCAGCTATGATTGCCACAACTCTGATAGTTGGCTGTTTGAGAGCAGCCATGGAGGAAGCGGCAGCACTGCAATACATTCAAGATATAGATATAAGAAACCCTATATATGCAAATGATTTGGAAGGGAGAAAGAAGAAGGAAGAGATTTAACCTTCTAAATGATGCAAAGTTAATGAAAACATCAGCTGTAGGATGAGCAGCGGATGCGGCTTCAATGCTGTATTGTGAGAAAAAGTGTGCATACAAAAATTAGAAGATACTTACACTGTAAGGGAAAATCTAGAACTAAGCATGAGCGCAGTGTAGTAACATACTTCATAGCTACAAGTTTAACCACACAACTCAGATGATATACTCTTATCTGCATTCATTCTTTGGAAAATAGAAAGTTGCAACTCCATTGCCAATGCTCAGTATACTAGTACTCATAAATGTTCTTTATAGTTCAAGAATTTTTTGTAACATAGAAAACAACTTAACATTAATTCAATAGCTTTATTAGAGGAAAACAGTTAAATATTTAGAAATGCCACAAAATCCCACAATTAGAAGACAGAAAAGTCCGGAACTTGCACATTGGCAAGAACCTTTCAGGATTTCAAAAAAATATTTTCAACTAGCAGGCAAACAAAAGGAAAAAACAACTGGAGGAGTTGAGAATGAGCAAACGCACGTTGAATGTACTGGGATTGCAATCTCCTCCTGACCGAAGAAGAGCTTTTGGAATCCCTCTGAACCAGGATTTATGATTCCAGCAACAGAAGGCCTTTCTCTCCCTGTTAAGTGTGTAATAGTAAGTAATTGTTGATTGATAAGTTAAGCAATGCATAATGCATTGTTTGAGAATCTATTTCGTACAAATGATTATAATTGAAGTACATGGTATCATACGCACCACAAAGGAAATCGAAATCAAGCATCCGTTGGATGGGAAGTTGCTTGAAGTTATAAAACAATGCCTGGGTGGTCTTGGAAAAAAGTTGTCCAGTTGCCATGGTTCCCAATGAATTCACAACTGTCAAAACTTACAATATCAGAAAAAACATCCACACCCTGTAATATATATCAATCAAACCCTCATTTAAAGAATGCATTGTCTTATACCCATTCTCTTACAATTCCAACTCAGTTATTGTTCCAAAAGATAACATTGACCTCTCAGAGAGCAAAATCCTGAAGATTCAAAGATCAAAAAGCTGTCTTCTAGGTTCTAAACTCACATGCTATAACCAAACTTACCCATTCTTAAGTCTCAATGTTGGAGAAAACAACAAAAACTGAAAAAAGCTATCTTGATCCAAAAGATCATCACCAATGGTACACACAAAGTAGATCCCAACACATTCCTTTCCAAAAGTCAGTCAACTCCCTAAAATAATGAATGCATAGTAAACCAAAACAAAAAAATCCAAGGTGATTAACTAGAACCAGCAAGAGAGCAAGACAATGACAACTAAACTACCCCCAGATCTTCCGATGAACCCCCGAACCAGAACGAGAAATGATCAGACACAAAAGCATACAATTCGAGCAGGAACCGCAAAACAGAGGCACAAAAATCGAATCCGAAACTAGGAATGATGGAAAGAACAGATCGAAGAAGAATTTAATGAAATGCTGCGAAATGCACCTGAGCTTGATGAATTGCGCGGGATCGGCGAATCCGCTCCGTAAAAACTCAGGGGGGAATTGTGAGGAGAATCAATTGACCCAGGTATATATATATACAGATATATAGATACAGAGGAAATGTATGTATAGATGAATGTATAGAGACTAGATAGAAGAGAGAGATGTACTGTGTATTTATTTAAGAATGCAGTTGTAGAAAGGAATGGAGGGGTAGATGAGAGATGGAGGGAGACGATACACGTGGCACGAATTAGGTAGCTCACATATATTCATATGATATGATTTTATTTTACAGTAATTTTTTTTATTTTCTTTCCATCTATCTCACAAATTATATTACTCTGTACATTATTCAAAAAAAAATCTATAAAACTCCATGCTTTTAAATTTAATTTATTTACAAAATTATAAATTAGTATATGCAAATTACTTAAAACTTCATCAAAGATTCTATAAAATAAGTTGTGACAAAAATACTTTCGTTTATCAAATGATCAATAAAACAAAAAAATGAATAGAGTAAACGTAATTCAAACAAGTATAAAATATCAGTGCAAAATTTTACGATTATAAATGTCATTTTCTGCCACTGTATACCAGTGTAATTAAAGTATTAGTGTACAACTTGGTACACACTAAATGGTGTTTTTTTAAAGCTACCACTTAGCATGTTCTTTATTTATTATTCCCTATCGTCCGGAACTGATCTTCTCTTTTGACTTTTCGATGTTAGAATTTGTAAAATTTGATCTTGATAGATGAGAAAATTACATTGTGTTTCGATATAAGTACGATATTAATAGTTTTAAAATATTAGATTTTTATAAAATATATCCATGAATAAATAAAGATATTAAGAATATTTGTAGAGAGAGTATCTCATATTGTTATTGTTAGAGGTGTTGAATTTTTACCAGAACTTAATGGTCATCATGGGCTGCTATATGGTGGCTGGCTACATATGGTCAACTATTATGCACGCACATTAATAAATAAAAAAATACCTGCCGGAATAAAAAAAAACAAATTGAGCTATAATTTGGATATTAATTGTAGTACTTGATATTTGATACAAAGAGTATAGAGTATGGTCATTTTTTATCGATATTTTCATGACTCGATTTTATATGTTTTTGTTTGTACACCTTTTTTCAACCAGTTGATGTACCGACTCTCAGGCATGATCGGACTCATAAATGCACATTTAAAATATAGGGATATGTTGTGTTGGAAACTAGCTTAAGAGTGTTCCATAATCAAGCATTTTTTTTTGAAGAGATCATAATTAAGAATTGGTATCCGACATAATAGTGTGGTGTGTCCTAAGTCTGATAGATACCATCAGATACTCTTTTTTTTTGGGAAAAAAGAAGGGAAAAAAGTTTGAAAACATTGAAAAAACATCTTTATAATGGGTTGTGCTTTTGTGGTTCTAAGGTCGACATATAAAACGTGTATCTTCTTACATTTTTTATTGACTTGCAAGTGAATCTTGTCTATTTTGTAAAAAAAACTCAAGCACTTTATCGTGTTTGACCTCGTTTGATGGCCTAGTTTGGGAATAATGTTTTTGATTAGCGTTAGCGTTTTAGATAAAATCTTAATGCTAAAAATTAATTTAAAATATGTTAACGCTAAAAGCTTCCGTTGGATAACCTTTTGAAAATATTAACACTAACCTCTAACGCTGATGCTAAACAAGACTAATACCAGCATTAGATGTTAGCATTTTGAAAAAATTATCTGACAATAGCCTTTAGCGTTAACATTTTCAGAATTAAACTACGTACACCGTTAAAATTTTATTCAAAACATTAGCATTAATAGAAAATGTTATTCCCAAACAAGACTTTATATACTTAAGTGCAGCTAATGAGTATGAACTTTAGGACAATAGGACCCCATAAAAATTTATCTTTTTTTCACCTTAAGTTGTACTTCAAGGTATCTAGTATAGAGTTTTTTAAAAAAAAGTTTGATACCCTCTTCGTCCTAAAAAGATTGGTTCATTACGCAAAATAAAATGAAATTTATATATTTTTTTCAATTCATTTTATTTAAAGTTGTGTATAGAAATAAAAAAATAGAACAGTATATTTAAAAACTACGTCAAAAGTTTTATAAAACAAAAGATAATAAAATTATTTTATTTTATCAATGATAAATGAAACAGATAAATAAACAAGAATTTCTGTGATTTTTGAATAGTGAAGTGTATTATTTTTTTTGGGACGGAGGCATTTAATGTAAAATTAAATTATCATCATCAATATTTATGAAGGGAAAGAAAAATAGGTCAATCACACAATCTTTTTCTTAGAAGGAATGCAATTTCTAGTATGGAACATTTATAAAAGTAAATAAAAGCTAGAACATAAATACTTTGTATGTGGCAGAATGTTAATGACAATATTATTGAACTAATTTGTCTCTTTATTTCTATTTACAATAAAATGAACTTTAGAATTTGTGATTTTTATATTATACATAACTGAATATCTAAAGTGTATTTTTACTGCCCCAAAAAAAATTGTATTTTTACTATATTCTACTCTGTATAACGATATGTATGGAAATTGAAGTTTAATTTTAAATCGGGATTTAGCTTAAATTTCATGTTCAAAAAATCTTAAAATTTTGAATTTGGAATTACGACAAATTTTTCTAATTCATTTCAAACCTTAATTCCAAATTCAATAATTCAAATTTTAAAAATTAAAATGCAAGAATTGAAATGAAATACTAGTTCCTAAAGACTACCCTAATTCATTACAAAACATAACTTTACTTTTAAAGAGAATATTGAGTGGTATTTTTTTCATCTTTTTTCTATACAAATTTTCATTTTATTAATAATTGTGCCAAAAGAAAAGTATAATGATTAATTCGGGACATAGCTAATACTCCCTCCGTCCCCCTATATTTGTCCACTTTCATTTTTACACATCATTCAATGCACTTCTTTAATCCATTTTATCTTATAATTTGTATATTAAAAAATTATAAAAATTATATATTAATAATCCATATGTTAAGACAAATCAAACAAGATCACACATGACTATATTTAGGCTTACACGTTGAGAAAATTTGATGAGTCAAAGAGCTTAGATGAACAGTCCCAAAAGTCAAATGTGGACAAATACAGGGGGACGGAGGGAGTAAATGTTAGCCAGTCCAATGTGTAAAAATTAGAATAAAATATTTTCCAAAAACTGTAAATACGATTTCTCTCAAATTCATTCCACATTTTACGTACTCTTTTCCTTTTGATTAGTTTGATCTCCATTACTTTTCGTCAATAATTCTTTTATTCTTACCATTTTTACCCTTTTCCATACTAAAGTTTAAATTTCCAAATATGCTAAAGATTTCAACATCCAAATTTTGTGCCAACTCATGATATATAATTGCATTTAAAAAAATGACTGAATTCACTTAATATTTACAGTATTAAAAAACTTTCCAAGCGATACATGACTAAAAAATGCATTTTTTTAAAAATGAAATTAGTTAATAAATACTCCCATTACACTAATATATACGGAGTATAACACTTGATGCATGTTTGGGAACCAAAATTTGGATTTCAAATGCAAATTTGGCTCAAATTTCATGTTTGGCAATCTTAAAAACTTGGATTTAGATTTGATGTAAATTTTCCTAATTCATCAAAAAGCTTAATTGCAAATCCATATATTGTCATTTGAAATACAAGAATTCAAACTTTAAAAATGAAACGCAAGAATTGAAATGAAATACTAGTTTCCAAACACTAGTTTAAAGAAATGCAAAAACTCACTCTTAGATAATGATGAGTAGGCACATACTCCATAAGTATTTTAAACTTTGAAACACTTTAGCTTCTTGCACCATGTACCACATTCCATCTTCAACTACCACTACTATGCTATTCTATGTTGATATATATATATATATATATATATATCCAGTACGAGCAGAGACATATAGGAAGATTATAGCTTTACCTAAGAAATTCACAGCTAAAATATATGACCCAAAAAAAATATATGAGCCCAAAAAAACACGAGCATTCGGAGAAACATTATAGCAGTCGCTCCACCCTCGGTTATAAGACGTCGTAACTATATATCTAGTTATATTCCCACCCAATCAACCCTCTCACCTCAAACTTGGAACCCGAAAATCTAATCATCCAGCGTTGAGGAGTCAACCAATCAGCAAAACTTGGCAGACTTGAATGCAAGAGGGTACATGAATGTGTTTGAGTATGTGAATCTGATCATTTGGCTGCTCTTCAAAGGCTTCCCTTCATTGACCAAACAGTCGTCGTAGTCCAGCCTCTTAAATGCGTTCGGATTCACTATTCTTGCCGAGGCAAACCAGTCGCAGTGAAGGTGAATGTTGGAAGGTGCACACCCAGAAAAACATGTGTTTACTATCTCAACTACATACTGTGGAATCCCCGTCGTCGAATATGTGCTCTGGGAAATGCTTATATCCTTGCTTGTGCAAGATCCTAATGAACAAACAAATAATCATTCAAACGGGATATTCCAATCTTTGCAGGATGCATATATTCATCAAACACACAGACTGATACTTACCATGGACTAAAATTTTTCTGTGGCTCTTATATGTGTTCACTGGTTTCATAATTGTGGTTGTGTTGTTTCCCTCTCCCTGGGATTGGTGCAAAAACTTTCCTGCAAAAGTAGGTTCATATAAGAGGGTTTACATATAATTTAGATGCAAAAGCATCTGTGTTTGTTTGTGTAAAACAGCCAAAAAAACTTGTTGGATACCTGTCTCCCTCCATTGAAGTCCAAAATGACAGATTGCAATGATGATGCCCAAGGAGATGCCAGAGAGGAGAACATAGCGATAGTTCATTGGAGTGAAGAAGTAGCTCTCCAAGTGTGTTTCTTAGAACCTGTGATAGAGGAAAACTGAGGAGGTTTAAGAGATAGAAAAGGAATATATAGAAGAAATAGCTTGAAAGATACCACTCTCTTGTTTTTCAAAGCAACAGATCACAATTATTTTACAGATATGGTATGTATTTCGGAAAAGGAAGGAACATCTAGAGGATTCTTCTCCCATTATTTATTCCTTGCCTTGCTTATTATTTACTTTATAAAAATATTCTTGCCATTTATGGTAGAAAATATTCTTGCCATTTAAGTTTTCATTCTCTCTATTTATGCAGAGAAGCCTAGAACAAATCATACAAATAAATACAATAACCTCTAGGAATCCAATTGTTCTCCATCAAAATTCACACTAATTCCTGTCAAATTGCAAGCCTAATTTTTTGGCTGAGATTCTGAGTTATGCTCACTAAAAAATGCCAGAAACAAATGGCTAAGCAAAGTATGAACATCATACTAGAATGTGGGAATAACAAACTAACAAGTTAAGATGCAGCTATATATCCAAATAATCCAATGAATTCAGCATTTTCAGAAGCAATTAATTGATGGAGTTGTAGGGTGCATTTCAGAAAGAAAATAGTATATCTGTATATGTACATCCCACTAAGAGAATGACTATTGACTACTCTTAACTTTTCAAAAACAATATGGCAGACCCTTTTGGTTCATTACACACTCAACCATTCCAGTCAAAGTAATTATCAAACATTTTCACTTCAAAAATTTCAATCATTTTCACTGTTCATTAAACAGGGACCAAGTGAAGTTTGAATCATGAACACTAGAGAGGTTTGGAAGAACAACACCCTTAATCCTGGAGTCTTTAATGGTGTTTGGGACCCTAATTCCAAAAGAAGCCTAAACACATGAGAATGGATGGGGAGAGAACTCATAATCTCAATAAAGTCTTAAGGACTCAAATACCAGTAGTTAATGTCTTATCCATGTGGAGCCATGAGGAGGGGAGAGGACTCCCCCAGTCCCACAGCTGCTGCATGATGGCCTAATTTCAAAAGTAGGTTGTTGAGATACAGCAAGCAGAGCAGAGAGAACCCCACCCCGGGGTCCTATAGGGTTGGACGTTAGCCCTCCCCTGTCCAATCTCACTTTTGACTACCCTGCCACATTACACATCCCGTACATCTCAAAACGAACCCTAACCAGACTAAAAAAAACTCCATTGGAGCATTTCCATCTCAACAGTAAAATGCAGCTTTCATAGAAATCACAGCATTTACACAATCCGAACGGATATTTGAACGATGATATGCAGAAACTCACTCGGCATTTAATCGAAACTGAGTAAATACAAAGAGAAAACAAGCATGACATCGATATACAACCAGAACAAACAGATCCTAACATTTTCAAGCCGACATCGCCGCCGTGCAGCGAGAAAAATCCACAAAAAATCGCAACAGGAACGGGAAAAAAGTGCAGAGATCGCAGGGAAAAAAAGAGGAAACTAAATATCCAAACGTGTCGCCAAAAAAAGGCATCCACATCCACATCCAAACACCATTGAAGACAAAATAGGAGAAAGGCAGGGAGACGGGAATAGTAAACCTACTATTCGGAGAAGGATTCAACGGAGAAGGACGGAGCCGACAACCGCAGCAAAAGGAGTGCGAGCTTTCTAGGCGGGAAAGAGAGAGAGGTGCAGACGAACAGCAGAAATGGGGGGAGAGCGTGGGCGGAGATGGCGACCTGAGAGAATGAGCCAAAAACGCAGTTATACTATATGGTGTACGGAGTAGGAATAATAAATAGCCCAAGGGAGCTGAGGATGATGATGACTCGTGCTTGCTAAAACCATGACTCATTGAATATTTATTCCTTATTGGATTTAGGAATTTTTTGGTGAGGCTAGAGATATAATATGAATTCTAAAAATTAAAAATATTAATAATTTGGATTCTTAAATTTAAAATAAAGTTGTTTGGTGAGATTAAGATTTTGATTTAAATAATGATAAACAAAAGTGATGATATGTTTGGGAATAACGTTAGAGTGAGCATTAGTGTTTTGAAAAGGTTATCTCCAAACAGCATTTAACGTTTGTGTTTTCAAAGTTAACCTGTACCATTAAAATTTTATCGAAAACGCTAATATTAATCGAAAACGATATTTCCAAACGGACCCTGAATCGCAATGACAATAATAGTTGGTGGTGGGAGTGATCCCCGGTTGAGAAATCAAAATCTCTCATTCCAAAAATTTGTGATATCAAATCTAGATTTTTTTTATGATTCATCAAGCCCTAAAAAAACATTTTGACATCGGGTATTATTAGAACCCATATATCACAAAATGGACCCTTAGTAATATATAAAACTACGCTCATGTCAAATTCGATATCAAAATTTGATATGATACGAGTATATTTTACAACATACGAAGTTATTAATTGGATTATATACGTAAACTATATAGTGTCAAATTTAGGTACGTATTAAAATAGATTTAGGTAGTGTTTGGCAACTAGCATTTTATTTCAATTCATGCATTTCAATTCCTAAATTTGAAATCTTGAATTTCAAATGACAAGGGAGGGTGCATGGATTTCAAATTAAGCTTTGTTATGAATGAGCAGAATTTGACTCAAATCTAAATTCAAAATTTTTAAGTTTCCCAAACATGGAATTTGAGTCAAATCCAAATTTGAAATCCAAATTCATGTTCTCAAACATACCATTAATCATATTTGGCAAATATTTATGATTAAGCGGAGAGAATGAACATCGATTGGGGTGCTAATAAGGGACGGTGCTGGCGATGCTCGTAGTATAAGGAGTCTACACCCTCACCCTTTGTCTTTGAGCCAAAATAGAACCCAATGATATACCCTAAGAAGAGGAGCATATTTCATAGATGGGTGGTGCTAAATTCACCCATCATTTCCCCTTCATTTATAATAAATTGACAGTCCGCATGGGTAGCTCAGTTGGTTAAGAGCGTGAAATCTTGGACCGATGACCAGGGATCGAATCCCGCAAGCGGCAGTGTGGGAGCTATCCAAAAATCCCATAAAGGGTGAGGAGGCTCCTTGTGCGCGGTGGGCACAGGTCTAGCGTTCTTGGCCGATTGAGTCACCATGATTTACATCCTCCACCATTCCTGTCGGGCAAGGGGGTGGGGGCGCCTGGGGTGGGCGATTCCACCTTTTGGACCGTTGGACCGATAATAAATTGACAATTTTATTTTACACTTTTTTTTCCATTTTCTAAATATTAAGGATAAATTTGTCTGTTTCATACTCCCTCCGTCCCAGAGTATTTGTCCACTTTCATTTTTACACATCATCCAATGCACTTCTTTAATCCATTTTATCTTGTAATTTGTATATTAAAAAATTATAGAAATTATATATTAATAATCTATATGTTAAGACAAATCAAACAAGATCACACATGACTATATTTAGGCTTACACATTGAGAGAATTTGATGAGTCAAAGTACTTAGATGAACAATTCCAAAAGTCAAACGTGGACAAAAACTGGGGGACGGAGAGAGTATGAAAAGGAGTGGATATAGCCAAATGAGGAGTGGATTTAGAAACAACTTTCATAAATAAGTGAAGAACTTATCTGAAAAATAGAACATTATAAATTACGAATTGCATCACCATATCATTTACCCAATTCATGAGTATTAAATTGATCACTTCTTTTTTACTCTGTCCTAATTCAGATTGCATATTCACTATTCTTGCGGTAAAACTTAATTTACTTTTTTTTTATATCTAGTTTTTTTTTCTCATTTGATAAAATTATATTAGGTAGTGTTTGGCAACTAGGATTTCATTTCAATTTATGTATTTCAATTCCGAAATTTGAAATCTTGAATTTCAAATGACAAAGGAAGACGCATGGATTTAAAATTAAGCTTTGTTATGAATGAGAAGAATTTGATTCAAATCCAAATTCAAAATATGTAAGTTTCTCAAACATGGAATTTGAGTCAAATCCGGGTTTGAAATCCAAATCCATGTTTCCAGACATACCATTATAGTAAGGATAAAGCTACTTGTACCCCAACCTTTTGTACCCCAATTTGTACCCTGCAGTTTTGTACCAACATTTTGTGTTGGTGTAAAACTAATTTTTGTTAACGCACCAACAGTTTGTATCCGTGTAAATTTTTATTAACGCACCAACATTTGTGTCGGTGTAAACCGTTAAAATGTTTGTGTATAACTGTGGTGTACAAATGGGGTACAAAATTTGGTGTAAATGTAGCATGGTCCTTATAGTAATGTCATTCTTCTTTCATAGAATTTTTAGGTAACGTTTGGAAACTATATATTTAGGGCAATGCTAGAGTTACACCAACATGGGTACCCTATTTGTACATCAAGCCAACACAGACACACATACACAAAAATGTCTCTGTAGCACAGACATTTTTTGTCTGTCTGTATCTGTGTTGGCTTGGTGTACAAATGAGATATCTCATTTGGTGTACCCATAGGTTAATTCATATATTTAAGAACATCGGCAAGATTCCCATGACATTGCTCGGCAATGTCATTGAATGACCCGAGGGCGCTCCGATGCCCCGTTCCTAAAATTGACGGCTTCTACCATCTAACTCCCGGTAAACCCCCCACCCTGCCCCAACCCAAACACACCCCCCACCACCTTCAATTGTACCCTACAAATTGATTTTGACTTTAAAATCAAATTTTGACCATATTTTTTTTGGATTATTACCATATCACAAATCAAAATAAAGTGCAAAAATGTGTAACAAATATAGTAACAACTTGCCAAATAAGACGATACAACAACCTTATAACTATAAGGGGACCACCAAAAGAAAAGAGAGAGAATGATTGCAAAGAAAGTGTAAAAAGGAACGAACGTGTGGACAAATCCAAATCTTGCCGGTGGCATCATATATTCATATCCCCACGCTCTCTCTCAAAAAAAATGATTATTTCAAAGATTGGATTTTCTGCTTTCAATTAATGGAATATCGAGTATTTAATTTGCTCCTCCTTTTTTTGCCTTACAAAAATAAAAAAGGAAATGATAATTTCAAACATGATTTTTCTCTATTATGATCTTAAGGTTCGCATCCAAAATATAATGATAATCACATATTCCCACCATCCTTAAACTCCTTCCCCTTTCTTTTTTTTTCTTGTCCCACTAACTTCTTTCCTTATTTATTACGGAGTAAAAAACTACTTTTACCTTTTAATTTCTCATACCCTTATTATCACATCATATCTTTTTTTACTAATAATTTATCCATCGCATCAAGAGTATTTTTGTAAAGTCAACACCAAAATATCTCTTACTTAATTTTCCAAAAAGTCAATAAGGGAACGACTTCAAGGGACGGAGGGAGTATTTTTCATGAACTCATGGTTAAATCTCCTAATTTAATACTCCGTACAAAAGAAATCGAGTAAAATGTAGAGAAAGTATGTTCTTATTTTCTAAGTAGAAGTTCGTACTGTAGTAATGTAGCACTGTACATGAACATTTTACTATGCTTTTTAGTGATGTACATTGGCATGATTGGTAATGTAAATTTATTTTAACTCTTACGAAGTATTTTGGTAATAAAAACATGAAACTCTTATCTTAGTATTTTTTCAAAGAAAAATTATCCAAAATAATCCCAACTTTACCTGGTCTTTTAAAAATAATCTTATTTTTCACCGTGATCCATAATAATCCCAACTTTGCTAAAATTTGCGAGTTTCGGGTCGCTGTTAAGTTGCTAACGGTGAATTAACGTAAACGGCTAGTTTTGCGCAACAAAATGAAAGTTGAGATTATTTTTGATAATTTTTCGTTTTTATATTTGTTTTTTGAAATTTTCATTTAACTTTTTAAAATTACTTTCTACCTCCATTTCTTTTTTTAAGATTAATCTTACTTTTAAAAATTAAAAATAATGTATATAAAAAATAACAAAAATAAGAAAAATAAATAAAACAATACAAAATTAATGAATCAATAAGGTAATCAATAGAAACTAACTTGAAACTAGTAAGAAATAAATAAATATATATGGAGTTGTGAGCTTTAAAATTTAACGCACTATGCAAAGTCTTTATGTACTAATTATTTTTTTTGAAAGAATAGGCCGCCGCTAAAAGTGGGAATTATTCTAGATATTTCTTATAAAAATAAGAAGAAGTGGTACATTAATACTTTGTATAGTGCCTAAAATATTAAAACCCACCACTTCAAATATTTTATTTTATTTCTAATGAAGTTAATTTTTATTGATTACATTAATTATTTCATTAATTTTTTATTGTTTTAGTTATTTTTCTCATTTAAAAAAAAGAAAAAGAAATGATGGAGGTAGAAAGTAATTTTAAAAACTTAAATACAAATTTAAAAAATTTAAAAACAAAAAATCATAAAAAATAATCCCAACTTTCATTTTATTGCGCAAAACAAGCATTTCAGTTGCCCGCCGTTAGCAGTTTAACAGTAACCCAAAATTCCCAAATTTCAGTAAAGTTGACATTATTATGTATCACGGTGAAAGGTGAGATTATTTTTGAAAGATCGAGTAAAATTCAGATTATTCTAGATAATTTTTCCTTTTTTCAATGTTTTATTCTAGCTTTATTTTTTTTCCCTTTACACAAGACCTATTACATAAAACCCGTTTTACATGTGAAGCTCCAAAAAATAGGTATGGACTTAAGAACTATAGAACAATTTGGATTGTGAAGCTCCAAAAAATAGGTATGGACTTAAGAACTATAGAACAATTTGGATTTTCTACTTTGAATTAATAACATTGTCGCCCGGGAGGCTTCAATTTCTCGAGCGACTGTTTGACCCGTCTAGTCTAACAGCTCGACCGGTCATGGATCAACTTGCTCTTCTTTGACCGATGTTCCTCTTGGTTCTACACCCTTCATATTGAAACTATATCTTGAATTTGTTTGGCTCCTACCCTTGTGATGGCGCCTCCATGTGGGAACAAGCTCGAGGGTTCTTTAGAGTCATCCATTACTGCCTTAAAGTTACTAGTCCCACCATAGACAAATATGTAACACCTCAACCTGCATAACCCAAATACATGGATCAACAAACTGGGTTACTACTAAATCGGTATCCAAACACAACTCATTTTCAAAATAATTTTTAAAAAATAAAGTCAACATATAATTTCAAACGTTCATCAGAGTACTTTAAAAACATAGTGCGGAAGCTTAAGTCATTATTCAAAACAAACTTGGGATTCAAGCTCATAAAAATAACGAGTCTTTAATTAATAAATAATAATTCAATATCTTTAATCACATCCACGCACATCTGTTCGTCCTCATCGCCCTCTAGGGTTGGTTCCAAATTCATCCTTCTTGTCTTGGTTACCAATGTGAACAAAAGAACAAATGCTAAATGTTCAGTATTGAAGGTAAGTGAGAAATATCTAACATTCAGTTATACATACAAACGATCTCACTAGTTCACAACATCACACGATATCATGCATACAAATACAACACAAATATCTGCATAATAATTCAATCCACAACATTATTCACAATACAAGATATTATGCTTTCATTACTTTAGTCATCTAACTTACTTACTTGGATGATAATTTATTCTAGGTTAAAGTTTATACTAACTCTGACTTGCCTTTTGGAGTCATGCCCCTCCCCTTCGGAATGAAGATCAAGCTCCACCAACTTGGGAGTTCCTCGCTAGGTGGGTGAAATCCTTGTCTCATTCGGAACGACGGTTCATAGATCCCCGTGCGTATGTTTGTACCCGAATAGAAATTGGACCCAGCAGACACCACATGACTATAACACTTCTATACTTATGACATAACTTGCCTATGTTCCATTCAAGTCAATCCTAGAGTTCCTTTAGGTGTATTATTTTAACTAACATTACCATTCAAAATTGTATAACATACTACCTCCATTCCTGAATATTTGTCCAGTTTTAATTTTTTTCAGTCAACTATTTTCAACCTTTGACATATAATTAAATAAAATATATATTATATATTATTTAGATAAAATATAATTTTGAAAATATTTCATATAATAAATCTAATAAAACTATCCTGTATCAATATCTAATATCATTTTTATTTAATTTGAAGTCAAAATTTACCAATTTTGACCGAAAAAATAAAAAATAAACAAATATTCAGAGACGGAGATAGTATTACAATTAAGTACTTAAACATCATTTTCTATGAAAAAAATAATTAAAGTTTACCAGATCTTTCAAAAAAAATTATTATCTTCACGTCATTAACATGTCATTTAGCTGACATGGAAGGTGAGTTGGCTTGCCAACTAAGCAAATCTTTTTTCTTCTTTTTATCTCCTTTTCCTTTTCTATTTTTTCCTTTTCTTTTTATTTTCCCATCAGCCCTAGCCGCCGCTGCAAATCTCTTCTCCCCGCCGCCGATGTAGTTCTTTTCTTCTTCCTTCGCCGGCTCAGCTCTCAGGCGTCGCCACCACCGCAGAGTCACCGCCACGTAATGAATCTTATGCTGCGATCTGAACTGTCACTATTTTTGGATAAAGTATTGAATTAAATTAATGTTCAAAGTTTAAGTATCACATGTGAATTTTAGTGAAATTTGTCTTTGTACTTTTTTATTTCCTAATTAGTACTTGGATAATATTTAGTGGCGAGAATAATATTCAGTGATGGTGGACGTTTAATTTAAATAATGTCCAATGGTAGTAGATATTTGCTTGAACAATGACCAATGTATAATGATCAGTGACACTATATTGGGAAATAAAAAATATATGGTACTACATTGAAAAAATTACTATGTTTTAGTACGGAGTACTATTTATATAAATTTTCCTATATTTTTACCCCTATGGTTGTATTCTTGGTCAGCATATTACAAAATTGAATAATCATTAATTTGAGTTCGACCAATTTTGTCTGTAAAATTTAATAGCTACTCGTACTATTTTAATTATTCCAAGAATTTTATTTATAGCATTTATAACAGCTTTGACAAGTTATCATTTGTTCATGCACAATTGCACACGGGAAAAATATTAGAAATATTAGAATGAATTCACAGCATAATTTTCATCTTATTAAATTCATCATCAAAATGATGAGTATAAATATTACAAAGTAAATAATCAAGACAATCAAGGAAGGTAAGTGGAAGATAATCAAATATCTTTGATTGGTAATTTGATTCCAATCAAGGATATTATCCTAGTCATCAATAATATTCCTTTGTTTGACACTATTCATTTGTTTGACATTTCTAACACTCCCCCTCAAGTTGAATCATCCGTTTCGGATGTTTAACTTGCTTAATGTTGCTTGAAAGACTCCAGCTGGTACTGCTTTTGTGAGAATGTCTGCCAATTGATCTTCAGATCGGACATATGGAAGACTGATGATATCTGCCTCGAGTTTCTCTTTGATAAAGTGACGATCAATCTCGATGTGCTTGGTACGATCATGTTGTACTGGATTCTCTGATATACGAATAGCAGCGGTATTATCGCACATCAGTCTACATTTACCCTTCGGCGGATACCCCAAATCTTTAAGGAGTTTTCTTAGCCAAAGAACTTCAGTAATTCCTCGAGCGATCCCTCTGAATTCT